GAATAATATTTTACTGCAGACAACCAAAGGGAGGCAGGTAGTCACTCTGTCCCACACCAAACCTCCAGCACAGCAAAGTGCAATGGTCAGGGGGTAGAGGTTGCTTGTCTGGGGATGGGGAGAATCAGAGGCTAAAAATACCCGCTAGTCCCAAGGGGTGGGGGAGGGGAGGGAAGGGGGACAGTCTGCCAACACCCCAAGCCTCTCTGAGCATACCTCTAGCCCCGATACTACCAAACCCTCCCAGACCCCTCCAAAGCCCTTCCCATGGACCCTGATTGTCCCCACAATCCCCAGTATCCCCTGCACAGACCCTACCTGCCCCCTTGATCTCCCATATCCCCGACTGTGGACACTCTCTGCCCCCACTTGTGCCTCCTGTTGACCCTGGTTGCCTCCCCAGTCTTCCAGACACATGCCTATACACCCTGCCAACCCTCTCCCCACCCCTACCCCCACCAACCCTGCTGTGGACACTCCCTTTCCCCCCCATCCCCCAAACCCCCCACTACCTCCCCCATCCAAACTTACTTTAGATCAGGTGGCCATTTTTAACCCAATCTAACCTCCCCCTAATCTCTCCAAATGTCTATACATACCATTAAGGAAGAGTAGAGCTGTTATTCTGTTAAAAGTTCAAAAATTTTATGTCCTTGAAATAGGCCTTTTGACACATAACTCTACACCAAAAAGGATAGGCAGAAAAGGGACACAGCTCTCAGCAACTGGATCCTGGATACTACTGGCAGTATGCAGATAAACACCACAGAGAGGTTGTCGCACAAAACACAGAGTACCAGGCTTAAACTGATGAACATGTAGTGAAGCACTTAATCAATGTATCTTTTTTTTTCAATCCAGGAAACCTTCAAAAAGAACTTGGTAAGTTTTTCTTTTATGTCTAACTCAACTTTTTCCATGGTATTAAATGTAGCTAGACCTAGCGGTTAGATTCATTCTCTCCATGCTGGAAAGAACAGAAAACTGGCAGCAACACTAAGATGCCCTTGGTTGGGAATCAGAGCCCTCAGGCACTCCTTCCTGGCCTCTGTCATCATTATTAGCCCAGAGCACCGCCGCTGTTGCAGCAAGTCATGGAGTGAAATTGGAACATTAATGTAACTGGAGATGCAGCTATTAATTAGGTTGAACAATGGTATATGATGGCATCACAAAGCGGTTGGGAATCATTGGAGGAACTTAAACATGTACCTCCTGTGTATAAGGTACCCTAAGCCATGGAGAAAATAGGTAGCTGTATTCTGTATCTATCAAAAACTTCTCGGGCAGTTCAGAGAGAATAACTAACAATAATCCAGCCTAAATGGCAATAAGAGGAGTACCTCTGGAGCCAGGTCCTCTCCCAGGAAATGGTACAGCAGGTCCAAGTCAGTGGTGTCTTTGGATACTGAGAATCTGAAATTCTCACCGCTATTTCTCTTTGTTTCAGGGTGGAAAAGAGCTGTGATCTGTCCAGGTAATGAAAGTTCTTGTAGAATCAATGGTCAGTGCTCTCGAGTCCCATTATTTTAATTTTTCTCAGGTCCTGTTATTTTAATTTTCTTTTTCCTTTCCAGTCAAATTCTTAGGCTCACTAATAGTTTGTGGCAAGAAGGTGTTGTTTTTTTTACTAAGGTCAAAAAACTCAAAATCTCCTATGGCCAATTTTTTTTCAAGGAACCTAAAAGTCCCTACTACACACACAGCATTTTCTGTTTCTCCTTTTGAGTGTAAATGCCAGGTTTTAATCGTATACATGCCAAATGCCTCTTATGCATCAATAAAATTGTATTCCCCTGGCAGCCTGGACATGTAAGTATACATGTGTAGTATGAACATGTGCAGTATGAACATGTGCAGCAGGCTCTGAATTGGCCAGGAAGGTGCACTGCTACATAGGTGTGTCCCTTCTGGACGTATACCAGTCTTTAAACCTTGAAAAGGTAGGCGGCCAGGAATGTGTGGCTATCAGGTGTCAAACTACACAAGATGGGGCTGCACTCTTGTATTTTAGCTCCAACATTTGAGTGCTTTAAGGCACTTGTTCAGGTAACCAGAGATCTGAGCTCTTGGTTCGTTTATCCCAAAATTATTCAAACCTCTTTCTCTCTCTCTCTGATTTCCAAGTATGTTGATTTAATTATCATAGTACAGTTCATGCGTTACCCCAGATGGCCTTGGGCACTCCTTCGGAAACTGGCCCCTGAACAGTCAAGACAGATAAAGATGTGGGGACAGAAGGGAGAGGGCAAACGAGCTGTGTCTGGCTCGCAAAAGTGGTGGCAACTGCCAAGAAAGGGACAGGGGCCTGTTCATAGATTCATAGATGCTAGGGTCGGAAGGGACCTCAATAGATCATCGAGTCCGACCCCTTGCATAGGCAGGAAAGAAAGAGTGCTGGGTCTAGATGCCCCCAGCTAGATGCATATCCAACCTCCTCTTGAAGACCCCCAGGGTAGGGGAGAGCACCACCTCCCTTGGGAGCCCGTTCCAGACCTTGGCCACTCGAACTGTGAAGAAGTTCTTCCTAATGTCTAGTCTAAATCTGCTCTTTGCTAGCTTGTGGCCATTATTTCTTGTAACCCCCGGGGGTGCCGTGGTGAATAAAACCTCACCAATTCCCTTCTGTGCCCCGTGATGAACTTACAGGCAGCCACAAGGTCACCTCTCAACCTTCTCTTGCGGAGGCTGAAGAGGTCCAGGTGCCCCAGTCTCTCTTCATAGGGATTGGCCTGCAAGCCCTTAACCATACGAGTGGCCCTTCTCTGGACCCTCTCCAGGTTATCCACATCTCTCTTGAAGTGTGGCGCCCAAAATTGAACACAGTGAGCACCCAGCCCAGGATGTCTCGCAAGGGATGCTCACTCTGTCCCATGGATGGGACTCCCTTGAACTCTGTCCAGCCCTGGTTGTCACAGCCACTGCACTTCAGTGCTTAAAGGGTAATTGTCTTACCTTGAACACTAGTGCACTGTGCACGTGGACATCTCTGGCAAACAACAATTGTATATATCTAAAAAACAATTTCTTGTTATCCTTAACTTGGGATGCCATCCTCAGCTCCATGGTAGCTTTGGCCCATCTAACTGCCTCCCTACAAGTGCGAGCAGAGGAGGTATACTCCTCTTTGGTAATCTCTCCCGGTTTCCACTTTTTATATGCTCCCCTTTTAGCCCGTAGGCTGCTCTGGATTTCTCTGGTCAGCCAGGGAAGCTTTCTGGCCCCTTTCCCTCTTTTTCCTCACATCGGGATCGTCTCCCTCTGTGCCGGAAGGAACACTTCAAGCCACAGCCACCCTTCCTGGGCTCCCATCTCTTCAAAACTCCTACTCCGCAGTGCGTCCTTGACTAATCGCCTGAGTTCATTGAAATCAGCTTTCCTAAAGTCTACCACTTTCACCCTACTAGTTACCTTACCCATTCGACGTCTTATGATGAATTCTATTATTTGGTGATCACTGTCCCCCAGGTGACAGTTTTAACATAGGCTCTTGTCCCTAATGGGTGTAAAATATCTCTGATTTGTGGCTCTCCAGGAGCTGGGTACATGATAAGAATATGTTAAATCACCCACACATTGAAAATCCCTTTGTTTATGGATTGTGAGAAGATATAATCACATAGAAGCAGCATCTATCCTGTCTTGGACAGCCTGCATGGCCCAAGTAGAGGTTGATCAGAAGAGGTAGTAGGAACCTGAAAGAGAGGCCTGTATGTCAGTAATTACATGGGCATAGTTTTGATGGGAGGCTTTTACTTGGTCTTAGACTCGTACATGCCTAAGTCACTTGAATAGTTCTGAACCTTTTACACAGAGCCAATAATTTCTTGTCTCTTCTCTGTTGCTGTTTAAGCATGTTGACATCCTCACACAGATGCCATGTCTGCATGGATGAACACTTGCCAGAGCAGGCAACTCCAAAGAGGAAATTTCAAATCCCTGCCTATGTGACAGCTCCCCATATGTTTATGTCATATCACCTGGAAGTAGAAGGAAACACTCTTGTACTTCCTGCCACAATTACTCCATATGCCTGGCCTTTCCTACATTTAACTCAAAGAGGGATTTTCCATTATATGAAAGGCAGCAGGAGCAGGTCTTCATTAATAGTCTTGTCATGCTTCTAAAGGTAGGGAAAGTTTTCTTTAGTATCAACAACTGTGTCAGCAACAGTGGTCTGAGAAATAGCGGAGACTGGTAAGTGTGTGGTCCTCTGACAGAGAAGCCATCAAAGTGTCTGTCTTGTGGTTATTAATTATGAGCACACTGAAATTTTAGATCTATTTTTACTAGTGTAATATTGCATGCAATAACACATTCTGTTTATACATTTCTTCTAATGAGTTTTCATATTTGATTCTGTGGTTGCTTTCAGGGCTGGGACAAACTGCACTGCCTCTGGAAAAAGGTACAATGTTCAGATTATATCCATAGCCAAGTCTCTCCAGCATTGGGAACCTATCAATTTAGATCCTTTAATAGAATAATACTATTAAGATTATCCTATGTATTAATTATTAATTAAGATTAATATATGTATTAATAGCTGCTGATAAGAATGAGTGGCTCTGACATTTCCAGACCAGTACTGGTGTATGGCAGGGAGGGTAATGAATAAGGGAATAAGCAATAGATCACTCGACATATATCTAGAGTTTAGCGCTCTCCTCCTACAGCATTGGCTGTTTCCTCTGTTGGAGGAACTTTTTATGTTGTTATGTTCTTACTGAGTGTGGAAACACATAACAAGTGAGCGGTTCCACAACGTCACAGATTGGGGACTGGTTCACAACTGTTGTTTGCCAGAGATGTCCACATGCACAGTGCACTAGTGTTCAAGGTCAGACAATTACCTTTTAAGCACTGAAGTGCAGTGGCTGTGACAACCAGGGCTGGGACAGAGTGAGCACCCAGCCCAGGATGTCTCACAGGGGATGGGTTCAAGGGAGCTAATAAATAAACAGTGCCAAGAAAA